AATGATTCTTCGAAAACTCGATTTGCACGAAATCTTGTTGCTGCATAATTTTTATTTTGAAAGATTCTTTAAATAAATTAAATTGGGTAATATATCGGGTTAATGAAGATTGATGCTCAATGAGCTCTATTGCTCGAATCCTTTGTTTTGCATGTAAATGCGAATAAAGAACTTGATCGAACAAAGACTAAATTTATCGATGAAAAATGTCACTATAATCTTTAACCACTTTTTCCGTAATCAACAAAACATCTTACAAGGAAATTAGTTTATTATAAAAGTGCTTTTGCACTGAAATTATTATTATTATTATAATATACCACTGATTGATAATATGTGAGAGTAAAAATAATCTCGAGTAAATGAATTGAGTTTCTGAAGTAGAAATATGTACAAAATAATCGCAGCACAATTAGTTCAAATAAACACTTCCATATTGCGATAAAGAGATTTATCACCTTGGTCATTTAAGCAATGACTTTATATACATGCGATATAATACATGAATCTCAAATGAGAAAAACTAAAACTACATACTTTTTTCGCGCCGTACTCTCAGTTTTTTTCTCTTTATATTTTCGTTAATTTTTTGCAGATTATTATTATTATTTTCTTGTTTTGAACGGAGCTCTGATCTGGTATTAATGTGTTGGTAGAATTTGCTATCGCGCATGTATGCTCATAATAATAAAAAACATATGTAAACGGTCTTTTCATGGATGATGTCAAGGACATTTGTTCTCATCAAAATATTAATAAAAGGCAATGGAAATGGAATAAGAAGGAATAAGTGTTGATGTCAGAAATAAGGTCAAATAAAATGTATGCTCAATGGAGAAGATGCAGTTTTAAATTCAATTAATTGTTAATTGCATGCACTAAGGTTGATTGCTCTCCCTTATAATGAAATAAAAAAATATTGTTTAGTTCGCCCAATTGTTTAATTTTTTCTTTTAAATTTATATAAAACTTTTTATTTTCTTTTAATTACTCAACGTGTAGTCTTAGTCACAATTAACTGAGTGAATGAGAATAAACAGAATAAATTCGTCGGAAATTCCCAACTGTTTATATTCATGCTGCAAGCATGGGTGCAGGAATGAAAGACTAATTAAATCAAAACAAAAACAAAAGCTTTCGAATCTAAAATCTATCGACTTATCTGTGTACCGTTTGTTAAAAAAAAAAACAATCATTTGTGCTGCTTAAATTAATACTTTTTATTAGTTTTTATTATTATAGTTTCAAAAAAATTGACTCTATACATTCAAATAGAACTTTTTCTTTGTGTATATTTTCTTTATTTATTTATATATCTTTCATATTTTAAATGCAGTTGGGGTTATTATGCAATTCAACTCATATGTAATGTGCATAAGAGTGCGCGAAAAAAAGAACGAGAATAAATGGAGAAAAATAAAATGAGGCAACTATCAAATCTTGTATTTTCTCAATGCTTTCAAGTCGCATTTGCTTGTGTTTCGCCAAAATATTATCTAAAACCATCGAAAATTATGAAGTCTGACATTCAGAAAACCCCTTCCCTTCATCAAATAAAAAATATGTGAACCAAACTAGCACAGCGAGTGATAACAAAAAAGGCTGATGACAATTTAGGACGCATTGTTTTTATCACGTCTATAAGTATCGCATCTTCTTTATTATATCCATTTCATTTATGAAAAAATATTTTTAAAATAAGTGTGCCTCGTGTAACAATATACAGGAAACGAAGAAATGTGCGAGCAGAAAGTAAATATCGATTTAATCTTAGGTGAGCTTTAAATGCGACCAACAATAAAAAAAAGTACACAAAAAAATAATGTCAAACTACTGATAATTTCGTTTGCATTTAAAAGTAGATTATTTATCTATAGACATTTTGTGAATGACGCATAAATAATGTTTCTGTGTCATCTAATTAAAGTTAAACTTTTTTCATTACAGAGTGATATGATCGACAAATGTTTTTAAGTTATGGTCTTAAACTTAAAAAACTCCTCATAACTATTATGTTTGACCATCCACAACAAAATTAAATGGGAATAAACTTCAATTGATTTGTCTAAAATAAAAGAAATTAATTTAATTGAAGATATAGGTATTTTGTGTGAGCTGTGAAAAAAATTATTTTCACTAAATAACTTTAAACCATCCTCGAAGGTTGAATAAACTTATTATAAAAAAAATAATTGAATGTGAATCAGCCTTTAAATTTTTTTTTCTATAGTTAATGCTATTTCTTAACGTTTCATCTCTATTGAAACATTAAATCATTAATCATTAAAGAGACATGATGCTCTGACTAGTTCTGTTTGCAGAACATTAATACATAACTTTTAAACATCATCGAAATTGAATCTTTTACCTTATTCTTCACACACGAAAAAAAATCATGAAGAAAGTTTTTTTTTCCCTTTTTCTTTATTTGAACTTGAAATTGCGTATTTTCCTTTTGGATGTTGCTCGTGTAATGTTGCTCTTCTTATTTTTCAAACACTTTTTGCCTTGTATTTTTTATTTTTCAACTGCTGCTAAATGTTTCTTTTATCTTATTTGCTCACTTTAAATTTTATTTAATTTTATTCGCTATTTATATTTTTCACACGTTAATAACTAATTTTTTAATAATATTATTTTTCTTTCTTTAACTGAAAATCTATCGCATACTAAATGCGTGGTATCATTTATAAAAAAAAATGTTTTTTTCTTAAACAAGAAAAATCATATCAATAAATATTTTATTTATAAAATCTATCAAAAAATCTGTTTCGATGAGAAAATAATAAAAAAATGTTTTCTAATTTATTGCGACTTAAAAATGCATTTCAAAGAATTTCAATTTTTCTTTTTTTTGATCTTGCACTTGTTGACTTCAATTAATTTTATAAAAATTTACAGGCCATCATAAAACTGCACTAACCATGCAATAATGCAGAATGAATTTCAATTGTCTCTGCTTTAATTCCAATTTTTTTCAACTCCTTTTTTCTTAAAAAAAATCTCAAAGTTCTGAACTCATTCGCAGTATTTTTCAAACTATTGTTCAGACTTTTTTTTAAATGTTTATTTACAATCTTTTTTCAAACTGAGCAAATAAGGGGAATCTGAGTGTTGTATTCACGCTAACACGCTGCTATTTCGTTTAGCTTCAACATCGATATTTTAACTTTTATTGCTTTGACGGTTATATTTGGTTTTAAAAAAAAATTGTAAAAGTGTTATAAGAAATGTGCAAAATAGAATGGAGAGAGGGGGGGGGGGGGTGTATAAAATAAATCATTTGTCAAATTTATGCTGAGCGAAGCAAAATGCGCTGAAGTCATTTGATAATAAAACGATTTTGTAAATATTTATTATAATTATCTTTTTAAACGACTTGTGAATGTATTTATAAAAGAATGATAACATATATTGATTAGAACATTATTGGGTTGATACCGACTATAAGAGATTTTAAGCAAAAAGAAACAATACTAGTATCAATGTATTCACACCACAACATACAATTTTAAAGCCAAATGGATTGACCATTTCAATGGATCAAATGTAAAAAACCAGAAGTCTCTACGATGTCACGTTATCGAGGTTTCTTGTTAATAAACTTGCTTGCTTGTTAACAGAAATCGTATTTTGCGATTATCTCAGCAATGTCTCAACCAAATTTGAGTCTGTTTTTGCAAAAGGTTTGAATTTCAGGCAAAAACTTTTCATCTTTGGACAATTTTAGCAAATTTTCTCCATTTTTTCACAAAGCTCAAAAAACTGATTTTTCAATCTAAACAAAAGCAATACATTCGCACGTGAATACGGTGTGAATATAAAAAAGGTCAAAATATTTAAACAAAAAAAGTTGAGATTGTAATTCTGTTGATTGATTTCAAAGGAATTTGGTCAAAGCGATATAATTTAATTTTTAATTTGTATCGAGTGGCAAAGTATCCATAATTTCGCACCTCTCCCTTACTTGGCATACTCTTATGCCTTAAATTAAAACCTTCTATTAAATTCTATTCATTTAATGATTCTGAGTAAGCCATTCAGTATGTTAAGTATGTTTCTTGGAATTTCGAAACTTTTACTTAATGAATTGGGAATTCAAGCTGTTTCTGGTGAAACTTCACATAAATATTTTGGACATGCTGTATATTAATGTGGTATATTGATGTGGTGGGAAAGAAATGTACACGTTGTCTTCGACCGGTCCTGAAAAATGATCGGGAACGGGACAAAAATTTAAACTCAATTATCAAGCATGCTCCTAAAATTTTTGAATAATTATTTTTTATTCATCGAGATAATTCAGTTTAAAAATTTGATTTCTGTCCCGAAAATTGCGGGAAAAGAAAATTAATTAAGAATCTACATAATATTTCGGTGTTTATTCAATTTCTTTATTTTTCTCATTTTTCTTTAAATTTTTCAAAAAGTCTGAAAGAACATTTTTGTGACAAAAAAAAATTGTAGTGAAAATTTTCCTCTACTAAAGTCAATTCACAAAAACTGGTTTTTGATATTTGATGTTAAAATCTTTTCACTTTTAATTATTTTTTTAAAAAAAATGCAGTGTGTTTTACATGTCGCATCAAACAAAAATAGAAATATTAAAAACATATTTTAACTAGAGTATGATATAATTATTACTTTGATAAGGAAGAAAAAGATACTTTTTTTGTGTTAACAAAAATTATAATGCATAAAGAAATAATAAAAGACGATAAAAAAGGAAGAAACTAACTTTTGATGAAATGAAAATTGCTATAAAAATTATGATAAGTCGGATTTAAGAACACTTCCTACTTAAGAAAAAAATAATATTTTAAATTTTTGGACCGTGGTACTAACGAAGTACGTGGTTCATTGATAAATACAGGAGCTAAGGAGACTTGATTGACACTTTCATTGGGGAAATAAACATTAGAAATCATATGTTTGTGTTGCTTGAGCTCAGTAAGCTGTAATTGTAGGAATGTCTAAAGAAGAATTTCTCCACAAAAAAATTACGTCATTGTTCCAAAAACGGCATTATATCGGCAAATGGATGGTCCATATTCTTCGTACTCGGCTTTTGTATGACAAACCTGATAGAATTCAGGCTGAAATTAGAGGATTATTAGATATGTGTTCAATTTAATTTTAATAGCATGACTTACTGTTGATGCCAGCATACTTCCGCCGAACCAGACAGCATAACGTTGCATATGATGTGAAATAACATTTACATCGATTGGTTTTGGCTAGTGATAAGAGAAAAAAAATAGTAACCAGTACTTATAAAACTAGTCATTGACTCACTTTAATTCTTCCTTCGCTCAAATTTTCACTAATTCTCAGTCGAGCATCTACAGATCGTTTGATATCGCGCTGTAAACGTCTACCAAAGTCTCTGAACATCGTAGATCCACCACTTAATACAATATTATTGTACAAAGGTCGTCTAACATCAATAGGACAATTCTGTATAACATTATCGACAATTTCACTTATTGGCGTTGTAAAATCTGGATTAGAAAATTCAGGATGAAAGAAAATCTCAGGTCCGAGAAATCTCTCATATCCAACATCAACATTAAATGCTTGCTTCGTAATACTATTCATTCCATCATAAGTCTTTACCCATTTTGATGGTTCCGAATCATATTTCGCAAATTCTTTTGCAATATCCGGACAAATGTAACAAAAACGTTCCTTAATTGCTTTGGCAGTTTCAAGACTTTGTTCAGGTGGAATTCCTATTTCACGTTCTCTCAATAAACTCTGAATAAATGAGGTAATGTTTCGACCAGCAATTGGAATATGTTTAATACATGATCCAATTACGTAGCCTTCAGCCACAGGAATAACATGAGTTACTCCATCACCACTATCAATTACGACTCCCGTTAATGTACGCTCTTCGACAGGACGTGAAGCCCAACTTGCTGCTAATGCAAGCACTGCTTGAACTGCTATATAAAGTCCAGGAACATTGAAAGTCTCGAACATAATTTCAGCAGTATATTCACGATTTTCTGGTGTGTTTAATGGAGGTTCTGTGAGCAAAAAATGATGATCTCCCGGCTCAGCACGTAAATATTTAAATATACACTGCTCTAAAAATCGTTCCATAAGATCCCAATCTTCGACCAATCCATGACGTACTGGATACTTCAAAATTATTAAATTTTATGACTCAGTATCAATTATAACACAATATAATAAAGATATTACCTTCACTGCATATCCAGTAGCATCAAAGGCTTCATCTCCAATATAAAAATCTAAATCCTCTACTCCTTTTGTGATTCGGCGAGAAGATTGGTCGCCTACTCGTGCGCTCTCTTTAATGGCTATTGCTGATGGAAAAATAAACTGTGGATCTTTATTTGACGCATATCCTAATTTTGTATAACTGGAATGATAAGGCATATAAAAGCGAGAAATAATCAACATTTAATTTTTTTCAATAATGACTCATTCCGGTGGTAATTTTCACTCCTATTTCTTTTGAAATTCATCATCTTACCCAGTGCCTACATCAATTACACACGCTGGAAGCCTTCCTGTCATTTTAATTATGTTCTTGAGCTTATTGCACACTAATTATTCCGATTTTTAAGGAAATTTAATTTATTTTCCACACAAACACACCCTCACCAACACATTCAAAAAAGTTGATTTGCTATAAACAAAAAAAAGACATAATAATATTTTGAATTTGACCGACTGGCATGACACAAAATAATTTTGAATTTTAAAAAATCGTTCATCGAAAAATCTTTGTATATCGCTGCCTGAAAGGAGCTAGCGGTTTAGAATGGAATAAACAATGAGATGATTAATTCTGTGGTCAGTTTACATGTTGTATTATGCTTTCAGTGTTGAATCATTTAGATTGATTATTAATTAGTCTTTTGATCAAAAACATCCAAATCTGAAAAGTTATCAGCGAATGATGAACCCTTAAATCGCAAACACTCTTTTTGAAGATATACCATGATACATCAAATTTCCATTTTTTAAGATCACCATTGATAAGTAAAGCAATTTAAAGGGTACAATTTCTTTTCTCAAATACTTACTCCAAACATGTGTAAACACTCATCATGATGACCACAAAAAAAGGAGAAGGAATGATGGATTGATAGAAAACATAACACTAGGAATGGCTTGAAAAAAAAACGAAATATTAAACTTTGTGCTACTGCTGACTTTATGAAATTTATTGAGCCGTGAAAAGCTTCGCTCAGCACATGTTTGAAGTTTCAAGTTTGACGGATAGACCAAATATTCAAAGTTTCATTCCAAAGTTTAATTATATAAAAATCATAATAATAATAATATAATAATAATATAAAACAGCACGAATCTAATGCAAAAAACTAGAAGTCTCTACGATGTCTCGTTATTGAGATTTCTTGCTGATTAACTTGCTTACTAATTTGAAATCTGTTTTTTGCAGAAGGCTTGAATTTTAGGCAAAAACTTTTCATCTCGGACAATTTCAGCAAGTTTTTTCCTTTTCTTTAAAAAGTTCGAAAAACTGATTTTTCAATTTCAATAAAAATAATACATTCATACATACATGTGTTCAAAAAATGATGATTATAAACACAATTCTAAATCATAGATTGTTACTGTAACTTATGTGCAAAAATAATTCTTGTTCTGACAAAAAAATTTGATCCTCTTTGTTAGGAACAAAAAATGTAAGGACTTTAATTCCCTCCATGATATTGCTGTCTTTAACTTAAAATTGCGCAATAATGAGCCGTGAATCATGATCGAGATTTAATATAAAAAAATGAATTACGCTACTCATTGTGCTTAAATATCCTAAAGAGAACATTAAATTTCTACAACGCAAGTATAAAAAAAAATCCTCGTCAGACATGACTTAATGTGGTTGCTGAAAAATAACGCTTAAATATTCGGTAAAAGTGAATGTTCAAAGACATAGACGAAAGAAAGGAAATTAGTGACTAAGCATTTTTTAGACAACATGAAGACATTAGCAAAAAGTTTCCCAGCACCATCCATAGATAATGTCCTTTTAATTCCCACAGAATAGACGAATTAAAATCCTGCGATCATTAAGAGATGTTTAGGCTAAAATTATCGGTTTTAATTCTCAGCTGAAAAATAATAAATTCGTAATATGTTTCCTGGTGACCTAGCATGTCTGTAAACATTCTTGCCACAAAATTACTAATTGACACGATACCAGATAGCCAAATGTCGGCACGTAACAACATTGATTCTTTTGTCGTCCAACTTGTTTGACCTTAATCTCTGTTATTTCTGTGTTGAAAAGTGAAATTTTTGTATTTTGCTCATTTTTGTTGCCTTCATATTGTCTCTGAAATACTAAATGTAGAAATAAACCGATAATGCTTCTCAAAATGACAAAAATTCTTTGAGCACATAACAAGACTGATACAAATTGCCATTTCTTTCATCACTTCCTCTACATTAACTGGTTCTTCTCTATAAATACTTAATAAAACAATTATCAGATTTTCGTAGGGGGGCCCGGGCCCCCTATGCCCCCCACCCCCCTGGCTACGCCCCTGGGATGCAGATTAGGAAATGTTTTAACAGAGTCCTCTTGTATTCACCTACGCTACACATTTACTCCATTCATGTCATGCAATTGTTTTTTCACAATCGATTTTACTACCATGCTTTATCAGACAATCAGCCATTATTAAGCCTGAATATTGATTGAAATTTTCTTTAAATTTGTTAGTAGGACTTTTTTAATGAGATTTTGTATTCTTGTCTGTTTTGAAGAAAATCTCAAAGCTGGACGAAATTTTGAAGATGATATAATGCAAAAAACCTTAAAGATCAACTTTAATCCTTCTGTTCAAATCCAATATCAATCCAAATTGATCTAAAAAGTACTTCAAATTATTAAAAATTAATAAAGACATCCAAAAGAAACTTTTATAAACCTTAGAATCAATCACATCTTTTATTCATCTCATTTCCAAACGTTTTCATCAGCAGCCAGTGGAAAAATTTAAGAGCAGTGCTTTAACCTAATAAAGTGTCGAAATCATTCTTTTGACGTGACAACATTCTCAATGTAAAATTCAATATTGGGTGAGAATTAAAATCGTATTAGAGCAACAACCTCAACTGTAATACTGAAAGCTTTTTCCTTCCCCTTTTTTAAGGTCTGAAGCGTGTGTCAAGTTTTCATGGATAATGAGAACGGTTTAAATTTGATTAAAAGGATACCTGCAAAAGAGAAGTTTGCTCAATTTAAGATATTTTCACCTTTTCCTTTGTTATTAATTTTTTCGTCTCTCCGAAAAGAATTTTTTTTTCATTTTTGAAGACCCTTCTCCATCCATTGTTTTCTTCAAGTGGTTGAGAAACTTGTTACGGATCGAAATAGCATCAATTTTTATTAATTAATGGCTCTTAAGTTCTTAAATAAAATTAAAAATTTTATAAAGCATAATATCTTCCAGCATTTAATAATTTTCAGCACTTTGATTAAAATTTCAAAAAGGCTCAAATTAAATGAAGCATATTTTTCTTGGAAATGTGACGATAGCTAAATCATAAGCAAATTTTTTGGAAAAGGGAAAATTAAAAATGAAATCATCTGTGCAAATAAGTGACTTTCATTATCGAGTGATTGTTTAAAAAAAGGTATTTTTAGCTTTGGGCTGTTTTATTCAAAATTCTATTTATTTTGTATTGATTGCTTATTTAAGGTTTCCGCGGTTTTGAATGTGAAAAGTTTTTTGAACCCTTATTTTAAGGAATTTTTTAAGATTTTTTTGGGAAAGAATAACAGTTAACAATGAACATCCTCGTGTTGGATGAAAACCTCTCATCAAATAATTTGTTGATGTTCCAATAAGCCTCCCTTTTTGGAATTAATAAGACACAGTTTAGACCAAGAATTCTTTTGCATATTCCAATTCCAGTAGAAAAATGGTAACCAGTTTTTTATGCATGAGAATATCGACCTCCATTAAGTAAATTTCTAATGAATGAATAAAGTCAACCCAGATTATTTGAATAGAAGAAGCATTACCGACATTTCCAAAACAGAAATGGGGATTCTATAAAAAGCTTTACAAATATTTAATTTGGATGAAAGTTGTGTAGGAAATTAACTACACATTTTATACCGTATTTGTATTTTATTACGCGAAGTAAAAAAAGGAAATCAAGTATCAATAGAATCTGATTCTGCATAATTTTTTTTCTTCTTAATATCCGCAATATCAATGAAAAGCTTCCTCATTTGAAATACCATGTCTTATTCTTTACTGAATAAACATTAAAGAAATATGCGCTAAATTTAAAGCTTGCTCGTTTCAAGCTTGCAGGACGCACGACTCAGTAATCCCATTGAAATGTGGATAAATGCAAATTTTTAAGGTTGCTTAAAAATAGATGTGGCGGTTTTTAAATGATGTTGTTCAGAAACTGAGATATTCAATATTTTCTAAGATACCAAGACATTATTAATCTTTCTTTCCGAAAAAAACATATTTTTTCTCTTTAGCCATCAAAGCTGCTCAAGAATCATGTCATTAACATTTTATCCCATTTTCTCAAAGACATAGCAGATTTAGATTTAAAATGAGCAGTCTCTTTTTTATTCCCGTCACATTTTATGTCATACATTATATCATTGTTGTTTTGTTGCCTCACACTCTAAAGGCGATTCCATATTAAATTTTTTCTTCTTTGCGATTTTTTATGTCATGAAAATTCATTTAATGCTCGTAGACGGTGTTGAAAGTAAGATGAAAATTTCTCACAATATATTTTACTCATGTTTATCTTCTTGTCATGTCATGAAATTTTTATTTCAATTATTTATGGTATTCCAAAATTATGGCTCATGTGAGATCGCTCACTTTCATGCAGAATAGGATTTGAAAATTTCTTATCCGTGTAGTGGAAGTTTAAATGAAGTTCATGAGTAAGGCGTGAAAGTGAATTAGCATAACTGCCCATTTTTATTCATTTTTATTGTGCTTTGAGATTTATTTATATTTGACATTAATGATCAATTTTTAAAGCAATGGGACATCCTCGATGAACCATTCGGTATTTATTGTCATTTGAAAATGTCATGTAAAAAAAAAAATATTTTTTTGTGTGTGAATTTTCTTGCGCCAATTTCAATATTTTTTACCCTACATTTGTTTATCTTTTGCAATTATATGGGTTATGTTATGAGTCTTCATGCTTGATATTATCGTGAAAGCAATTTCCAAGAAATTAAAGATAAAAGAACATATCTAGCGAAATTTTATTTCTGTCAAGCTCCATTTTACATATGATTCAAATAATGTATTCCTAAATGACATGAAGATTCCAAACATTTTTAATAAATGGCTGCTCTGAATATAGATGAACCATAACGAGACTCTTTTCTTCTTCTAAATTATACGCTCTAAAAACTAGGCATGGTCGTAAAACTTCTATGATATTAGTTAAATTAAAAAAAAGAAAAACTAAAATTTCATTCATGACTTTTCCACTGATTACATCGTGATATCTTAATAAATTTTGGGGTATTTTGCAACGTA